TGTTTTCAAATATAATAAAGAATATTGCAAATTTTGTGTTTTATTGACTTTACTTTTGTTCAAAATATATTTAGTGACGGTACGATAGTTAGAACTGTTGTTATACACTGAGAAGATCCTGGGTTTGAATCCAGTCTGGGGCCTGGATGATGTTTGCATGTTCTGTCTGTGCCTGCATGGATCCACTGCTTCAACTTTTTCCCACAGTTCAAATATATTCATGGGTTTAGATTAATTGATTATTCTAAACTGACTTTAACTGTGAATCTGAGTGTGAATGCTTTATGTGTCAGCCTTATAATACACTGGCAACCAGTCCAGGCTGTACCCTTTTGCCCTGTGACAGCTGGAACAGGCTCTAGCCCCCCTCCGTAGATTGTAAACAAGGATAAGAAATCATTCTTCGTGGCTCATGAGTTGGGAGTTCACCTTATAATTCGAGTTCGAGTCCCGGCTTGGACAGTCTTGGTCGTTGTGTCCTTGCGCAAGACCCTTCACCCGTTGCCTACTGGTGGTGGTCAGAGGGCCCGGTGGTGCCAGTGCCCGGCAGCCTCACCTCTGTCAGTGTGCCCCAGGGTGGCTGTGGCTACAATGTAGCTTGCATCACCAGTGTGTGAATGGGTGGATGACTGGATGTGAAAAGCTCTTTGGGGTCCTTAGGGACTAGTAAAGCGCTATACAAATACAGGCCATTACCATGCTTATATTAAGAAAATCCCTGGTATACTGATGCATCAATATGTTCTTTTTAGGAACAAATCCTATAGTGAGTATTCTTTATCTTTTATGGTATGATAATGTATTCAGAATTAGTATTGAATTACACAATACTGTCTGCTTAAAAGGGGTCATATGCCTCATCCATGGGTTGCACTGAACACTAGTTTCCATCAGGTGTGAGGTGGTTTCTCCCTGAACAGACACAGAGAGAGACAGACAACCATTCACATCCACACATAAAACCAATTTAGCAGAAACAGTGAACCTAACATGTCGTTGGGATGAAGCAGGAGTAGCCGGACAGAATCCATACTGATGGGTTTGAACATTAACTTCTTAGTTTGCAACAACGGTACACTTCACAATGCCAGCCTTATGAACGTTTGTGTATTTCACAAAATACAAGCTGGCTAGCTAGCTATTGTTAGCGAGATAGCTAGTATAGCTAGTACTAAAAATATTAGTTGGCATGAATTTGAAGAGTGT